TGGTATTCAGATTATATGGTGATATTCAGATTATATGATGATATTCAGATTATATGGTGATATTCAGATTATATGGTAAGACTATAATCTAGAACAAGTGGAATACCACCATGTGATATAATTATATCACATGGTGGTATTCCACTAATACAAATATGAAGATTATTCTTATAAATTGTCATATTTTGAACTTTTTTTTCTTTTTTTTTCTTTCAAATATATTATCAAAATGAGCAGAAAAAGGTCAATCACTTGCATACTTGATAATGAAGAAAATGACTCAAGTCAATCCTCTACTGCGATTTCTTATAGAAGAAACAGATCGATTACTAGTTTAATTGATGAAGAAATATCTTCTACTTCTAGAACATCATCATCACGTAATATAATAACAAGATATTGATATTCACAAAGCTTAATTTCAGATGCATTTCATCAACTTGAAATTCAGAAAGAAATGGGAGAGTCTTTAACAACATCAGCTTCAACTAGATGAATTATTAAACATAAATCAGAAGATGATGAATATCAGGAGGATTCTGATTCTACATTTGTATCTTGAAGACGTGTAAATAGGTATAAAAATTGATCAAAACCCAACATAAATCCTCCTGATAACAATTCCGAATAAAGTGTTGATGAGCCTTCTGAATCTTCATAATATATCACTGAAGAAGACAATATTTCAGGTAGTAGTAGTAATAGAAATGAATCAGATGATAGAGAATCAGGTGATGATGAAGATTACGAAACATTTGAGAATTATGCATCACCCGATTATGAGCGATTTTAGGACCCACCAGATCTAGGATCAATAATTGATAACTGAATTTTATGGATTTTGCTTTGGATTATAACATTTTGGACAAGATTCAACATAATGGAAACAGCAATCAAGACTTTGATAAAATTTATGAAATTAGTCTTGACAGAAATTGGTGGAGATGATTTTAGAGACTTTCCAGATTCGATGTATTTAACAAGGAAAAAACTCAGATTAAAAGATAATTTTCATAGCTTCGTTTCTTGTCTGACATGTCATAAGCTGTATAAAAAACAGGAAGTGATAAATTTTAGACAAGAAGATTCATTTGCTATAATGAAGTGCCGATATGTAGAATTTCCTAATTCATCACTCTGTAAATCACGACTTTGCAATACAACTATATCTCGAACCATCAATATTTTGGCAAATCGAATAGTAATTCAACCTAATTTAATATTTCCATTTTCTGAAATCAGACAACAACTCGCTTTGATGTATTGTCAGCCTTTTTTTGAAAGTTGTTTGAGACAATGGCAAATCGTCAGCATTATGATAATATTAGGACTGATATATATGATGGTCAAGTATGGCAGACATTGAAAGAATCTTCTGAAGAAAATTCGTAAAATTTTTTTAAAGATGAAGTAGCTGATTCTCATTTTGGATTAATGTTGAACTTGGATTGGTTCCAGCTTTATAAAGGTATTGTATATAGTATTAGTATTATTTATGCTGCTATATGCAATTTGCCGCATGATATCTGATTCAAGCGTGAAAACCTACTAACTCTTGGTCTCTTACCTGGGCCAAGTAAAGTAAGTTTGCACAAAATAAATCATTATTTAGCACCGATCGTTAATGAATTGAAATCTCTTTGGGATGGAATAACTATAGATAAAACATACGAATTTCAAGAAGGAAAGATCATTTGTGCAGCTCTAATTTTTGTTCATGTGATATACCAGCTGCTAGAAAAATATGTGGTCATATTTCATTCTTAGTATCATATCATAGGTGTGAGAAGAAAGCAAATTATGAAAATCGGCAGCATAATTTTGCCAGTATAGATGATTTTGATGATTGGTTCTTCATGCGAAATCCAACTGAATATTGTCAGAATGCTTTAGAATGAAGATATTGCAATTCTGATGCTTCACGAAAGCGATTTGTAAAACAAACTGGTGTAAGATGATCTGAATTATTGCATTACCATATTTTGACCCTATTAGATTTATTACAATTGATCTAATGCATTGCTTATTTTTAGGAATTGCACGATAGATAGTAAAACGAATTTAGATCAATGAGGGAATTTTAACATCAAATACCCTGAAAAAATTCAGAAAAAAATGAATGAGTTTCAGATTCCATCTGATTTGGGTCGAATTCCAGGTAAAATTCATGAAGAAGAAGGATTTTCTAATTTTACAGCCGATCAATGGCGAATATTTTATGCCACTGTATCGCTTTGGGAACATCTTTTGGCTGTAGATAAAAGATTCTTACACATTTTGTGAGAATTTGCTTAATTTTAGTTAGCTGAATTATAGAATTAGATCTTGTTTTAAAAGTTCATTGAAGATTAATTGAAATAGCAAAGCTGATAGAAGTTAATCATGATCATAATAAAATTACGTCGAATATTCATTTATCTCTTCATTTATACAATTGCTCATTTAATTATGGGCCATTGTATGCATTCTGGTATTTCTTTCGAACGCATGAATGGAATATTAGGTAATTTATCATTATGAAAATTTTCTGATTGAATATATTTATTAATTTTTAAATTTATAATTCTTAGGCTCTTTACTGAATAGTAATAGAAAAATCGAACCTGAACTTATGCGTTGATTGATGTTCGATGATCAAATTGACAATATCATAAATTCCGGTGTTGAGATAAAAGGACTTGAATTTTTGGACAATCGGCCTTCTATTGGCTCTCTTTCGATTACTGACTAATTTTCATCAGATGAAATATACTGATTTTGGATGAATTCCTGAAATATTAAAGAATCGCGTATTTTTGGTAGTGAAAATTTTCCAGGAAAATTTTTTAAACCATCATCTGATAATATAATTATTTCAAATGAAATGCTGGATTTAATTGTTAAATACTATTTAGCAACTATGAAAATCTCAAATTTCAGAAATCATTCAGCGATGATTCAGAAAATACTATAATAATTCAATTCAAAATGAATCAGTTTGAAAGATGTCGAATCAGTTCTGAAATCTTCAGTTCAACAATGTCCTTACGACATGAGAAAAGTTCATACATTTTGACCAAATTTATTACGAATGATGATGTTATTGATTGTTATTCAGGTCAAGTTCAATATTATTTTACTCATACAGTCGATTTACAGTATGGACTGACTGAATATTTTCTAGCATATATTCACTGGTATCAACCTGCAGGTTCTCTAAATGTTCGATATCATTTTAACGTTGAAGAAACATGTAATGTTGAAATATGAGATACCAATTTTTACCTTGAAAGTCATGATTGCATAATACTAGTACAACATATTTTAGGACGTTTTGTACCAGTGAACTATATGATTTCAACTTGGCGAAATGAAAAAGAATATTTGGTCATCAATCTGATTAATAGAAAATACCAATTATGAAATTATGACATCTTATTTCCTTCCGAATTGTTATTTTCAACATAAAATAATCTATAAAAATTGCTTTCCGATTTTATAAATATACAAATCGTTCATAAATCGGACAGGTTGATTTAGGTTGATTTTTGAACATTGATGATTATGACCGTTTGATAGACGATTGATAGATGATTTATCACATGTCCAATTTTTTTGATTTCGACCAGTGTTTTATTATCTTATAAAATTAACTTCCTAAATTTCTCTCGATACATGATAAAAACCTCAGCTTATTTATAACAAAATTTCTATACTAAATTGCTATCTTTTGTATAAAAACTATGTAATAATTTCCTCATCTTTCTTTATGTAATTTTGTTACAATAATTGAGTAATGACTATCTAATCGCTATGCAATAGTCCTATAACTATAATATATATATACTTGAAAAGATGTAGAGAATATAATTATATTATTTTTAAATTATTACTACATTCTTATACTTAGCCTTTTGACTAGTTTTTCCTTGCAGTTTCTATTTGGAGTTTCTAGTTTAGAAGGTTACGCATGTTATCATGAGCTAATAATCTATTATTTCATTTCTTCATTAACTGATCTGGTTAATTTCACAGATCATTATGTCATTGATTTTATAGATCAATCTACATTAGTGTTTTGCAAAAAATCCAATTCAATCTGAATCTGATCTGGATCTGACAAATCAGATTGAATCAGATTTATCGGATTCGAATCAGATTCGGATCTGGATTTTGATTTGATTCGATCTGTTAGATTCAGATCGGATTCAGATTCAGATTTGATTCAATCTGATAGATTCAGATTTGGATTCAGATTTGATCCGTCGGATTTGGATTTGGATTCAGATCTGATTTGTTGGATTTGTAATAAAAAATGCCACCCCGAAGTCGAATGCGGCGTTTATTATTAAAAAATTAAATTTTTAATAATAAAATGCCGCCCAAAAGTTGGACACAGCATTTATTATTAAAAAATTAATTTTTATTAATTTTTAATAACAAAATGCCGTCCCAAAAGTCAGAGGCGACATTTATTAATAAAAAATTAATTTTTATTAATGTTTGATAATAAAATGCCGTCCCGAAAATCAGAGGTGGCATTTATTATTAAAAAAATTAATGTTTAATAATCAATGCCGTCCTGAAAGTCAGAGGCAGCATTTATTATTAAAAAATTAATGTTTAATAATAAAATGCTGCCCTGAAAGTCGGACGCGGCATTAATTATTAAAAAAATTAAATTTTAATAATAAAATGTCGCCCTGAAAGTCAGATGCAGCATTTATTAATAAAAAAATCAATTTTTATTAATTATTTATATAAAAATGCCGCCCTGAAAGATGGATGCAGCATTTATTAATAAAAAATTTAATTTTTATTATTTTTTTATATTAAAATGACACCCCGAAAGTCAGATGCAGCATTTATTAATAAAAAAATCAACTTTTATTAATTATTTACATAAAAATGACGCTCCGAAAGACAGATGCGGCATTTATTAATAAAAAATTTAATTTTTATTAATTTTTTATATTAAAATAACGTCCTGAATGTCGGATGAGGCATTTATTAATAAAAAAATCAATTTTTATTAATTATTTATATAAAAATGATGCCCAGAAAGACAGATGCAGCATTTATTAATAAAAATTTAATAAAAATTAATTATTTATACTAAAATGTTATCCCGAAAGTCAGATGTAATATTTATTAATAAAAAATTAATTTTTATTAATTTTTTATATTAAAATGCCGCCCAAAAGTCGGATGCAGCATTTATTAATAAAGAACTAATTTTTTTAATTTTTTATATTAAAATGCCGCCCAAAAGTCGGATGCGGCATTTATTAATAAAAAATTTAATAAAAATTAATTTTTTATGTAAAAATGCCACCCGAAAGACGGATGCGACATTTATTAATAAAAAAATTAATAAAAATTAATTTTTTATATTAAAATGCCGCTTCGTAAGTTGGATGTAGCATTTATTAATAAAAAATTAATTTTTATTAATTTTTTATATTAAAATGCCACCCCGAAAGTCAGATGCAGCATTTATTAATAAAAATTTAATAAAAATTAATTTTTTATTTAAAAATGCCATCCGAAAGACGGATACGCCATTTATTAATAAAAAATTTAATAAAAATTAATTTTTTATGTAAAAATGCCACCCGAAAGACGGATGTGGCATTTATTAATAAAAAATTTAATTTTTATTAATTTTTTATATTAAAATGTCACCCCGAAAGTCAGACGCAGCATTTATTAATAAAAAATTAATTTTTATAAATTATTTATATAAAAATGCTACGTCTGACTTTCAGGGCGGCATTTATTATTAAATAAATTAATGTTTAATAAAAAAATTCCGCCCTAAAAGTCGGATGCAGCATTTATTAATAAAAAAATTAATTTTTATTAATTTTTTATATAAAATGCCGCCCCGAAAGTCAGACGTGGCATTTATTATTAAAAAAATTAATTTTTAATAATAAAATGCCGATCTGAACGTCAAAGGCGGATTTTTGTTAAAAAAACAACAAAATTGTTGTTTTTTAACATTAAAACGCTGTTCCGAACATCAGAGGCAGATTTTTGTTAAAAAAATTTTTTTGATCTGTTAGATACGGATACAGATTCAGATTTGTCGAATTCAGATTTGTCAGATTTGGATATGGATTCAGATTTTTCAGATTCAGATCAAATCGGATTTTGCCTAAATCTGATCTGATCTGATCTGTGCGGAATACTAATCCATATGTTAATCATTTGTAGATCACTTTACTGTACCATATTTTCCAATTCTTGAAGATCATTTGGATTATAATATAAGAATGTAAGAGTAAGGTAATTTTTGAAAATTTTACTAATAGCTATATACAGGAGTTTTTAATAAGATCAGTATGCAAAATTGGTATTTAAGACTAAATAATTTGAAAAAATAAGCAAACTAATTTCCTGATTTTTGATCATGTAATTTACCCATTGTTTTATTATCAAATATTTGTATAACAAAATTTTTTTATTATTATTTATTAAATGTATTGTTTGATACTTATATGAAAAATATCTATTTATGATTGCTTCAATTACATCTTTTTGACCAAAGTAATCATAACAATACTTCTTTTTATTTCCTAATAAATTTAATACATTTTCTTTAACTGATACATTAGTTGGTTCAATATGGTAAATAAAATGTTGTACTGAAATTGCTGAAAATAGAAGTATATATAATGAATGCTCTTTCATCTGATATAACAAAATTTTATGCAATAAAATAGTTTGTCTTTTACCATTATCTAGAAATGATAATTCTTTAAAACGATATTTACAGAATTGTGATCTTTGTGATATTTGGAATACACTTAATAATGAATCTAAAAATCTGTATGAAAATCTATGGATTGTTCTTGCTGATAAAGCTATAAAAGGTACTTTTAAAGATATGCTAGTCTTTACCAGTCTTTGTGAAGTTATAGGTGATGCAATTGAGCATAAAATAAAAAACAAATCCAAAAAAATTGAAATTATAGTGATGAATTTACTAATTTTTTAACAATATCAATAAATACTATATACAACGCTATACGGTAGATAAAATCAAGAGATAAGATGATATAATACTTTTAAGAAGGAAAATTGTAAATGTGAGTATAAGGATCAAATGTTTAATTGGTTTATGATTTAAGCTAATTTGTTATATTATATGAGTTTGATAAGATATTATTTTAAATTCTTAATAATGTTAAACATTTTTGTTATATTGAATAGCAAATCCAAATATGAAAAAATTTCTTTTTTAGTACTGCATTTAACACATAACTGAGAATTATCAAATATTAATAAGTATTATTTTTTTAAGAATTTTTATTTTAAGAAATATTTCTAAGGATTTTAAAATTTTCTTTTTTTTGATAATTAATACTTTATAAAAGTAACCAAATAAATAATATTGTTAATGTTTTTCTCTTTCTATTAAACAGATTTCATATATATTATAAAGTATGTTTTATAATATTCTTTTATATATAATGATTCTTCTTTAGAGCGATTTAGAATGTAAAATATCCTAGGTACTATACATCACAAATATTAGGTTATCATGTAAAGTATTCTGGATCAATATACTTGATACTGCATTAATTAAATAAATTTTTTATTTTTTATTATAATACAATACATAGAAAATTTATCAATTGTATTTATTTTCAATTAACATTATAGTTAAAAGGTATATCTCACTATATTTATTATATTTTACTACATCACAGTATCTTTCTGATTATAATACCCTTTAAATTTTTATAAAATATAAAATATCTAAGATACTATAAAACATATTCATATTTAATATTAATTAGATAATAAATAAATTGGAATTAATTAATTATTGGGAAATTTAACATACTATGATTAAGTTAAGTTATAATATTATAATAAATAAATATAATAAAAAGATAATTTAATTATCAAAGAAAAAAATTCATATTAAGAAAAAAATTTAAAAAAAAAATTTATAAAGTTTAAAAACTATAAAAGTTAAATTAGATATTTTAATTAAATTTTCTAAAGAATTTTTTAAATAAATCAATTTTGGTATTATATTATACAATAAAAATCAAAATTTTGATAAAGATTTTTTAAAAACTTTATAAACTAGAAAGGTATTGGTCTCAGATTTTTTCTAAACTCAGGTTTTGGGTTATGTTTTACAGATTTTATAAGAAATAATAGCTATTATCACTTTTATTGTAACATAACCTTAGTAACTTAGTAAAAATATGCTATGGTTTGATTTTTAAAAAAACAGTATGTAAAAAATTAGCAAAGGTTAACACCAAACATTCTAATTTATCATGCATTGACATATAATTTCCAAACAATCTGAAATTGTTGGTCTTTCCAATGGATTTACAGCAAGACATCGTTTCATTAGTGTCCCTAAGACTTTATCATCTTCCCTCACCAAGTTACTTGTCTGAAGTAGATAACCAATCCCCCATACATCTACACTATTGGTATGTGGCCCTACAATTTCTGGGGCATGAGATCGAAGGTCCAAATTAGCTCCAACTGACTGTGGAAAACCAACACCTTCATCAAAGTCCAATAAGAACCAGTTTGCATTATCCTTGGTTTTGCCAATCTCATGAGCAACATTGTCCCATCTCAGGTCTCTATGCATCAGGCCACGCTTATGTACTTCATTCAAAGCTTTTAAGATGCATGATGGTATAGCTCATTCATTGTGACAGGTAGGTGTATAATTCCTCGAGGAGTAAAACGTATAGACATTTCATGATGATATTGAAAAAATACCATCTGTTCAACAAATGCTATTTGGGGTTCCTTCTGTAAAATGTTGTGTATGGGAAATAGTTTAATAGATGATTCTCAGAACATAATCTAACTCAAGTGATATTACCTGTAAATATCTCTTGCATGCTGCCAATGATCATTGCTCAAATACTTCTTTTTTACTACAGATCCTGTAAGCTCCACAGTTTTCACAGGTCGTTTAATTACAAGCTGATCACCAATAATTTCCCTATTTGATCTGCACCATGAAGCAAGCATGGGAAGTAATCGCCCAACTACCCGACAGGCATTGAACAATCTTAGACGATCTCCAAGCTGTTGTAAATTAAAAGTACAAAGAGAATGTAAAGTAATTTTCCCATTCACATGACTTATAGCTGCAAATGTAATCTTAAAAATAAAAATTATCAATTTAAAATTCAAAGAAAAGTCAATAAACATCTCATAAAAGAACATGTTGGATTATTTGCTGACCTTATATGCACGAACATAATAAGCAAGGATAAGGAAGATCATCATATGTCCAGAAGAGTTTTGATATAAGCTCATTTGCAGGGTCACCAAGAGTTTCTGGTCCTTTTTCCTCTGCTCGAAAGATACTATACTCTCCAATAGAAAGGGTAAGGTCAGGTCGTTGCAATCCAGTAGATGTAAAGTGATTTGAGTTCCTCTCATAGCTTATGGTTTCTGCACAAAATAATCGTATAGTTTGTGTGATGAGACTATCCCACAAGTTATGGAATGATTCCTCTGTATGTCCAGTTGGAGGAGGTTCGATGATTGTTCCAACAATTGCTACTAATAACTGTTCGGAATGTTGATCTGTGGAAAGTACGAATGATTGTTCCACAAGTGAAGTAGGGACACGAAAGCTAATTTGAGCATACCAACTGTTAGAAAGTGGAAAGCGACAATTTGAAGGTGGAGGAGCAGTTAGCTCTTCTGCCAGAGTGTTGATAGGTGGAAGATAGGAAAATGGGATCTTCAGCTGTTCCAATATAGTTGCTGTTGGATCATGCAGAGGAATCAATCCAACATCTAATACCAAAATCATTCAAGTTAATAAATATACTTTGGCTGGATGCAATTCTATCATACCATAAAATGAGTCAGAAATTTAACCTGTTTCATAGAAGATAATGGACATTAAGAAATATATATTTCAATAGGTCAATGATAGAGTAAAAAAGAAAGAAAAACATAGGTTAATAACATTCAAAACAATAATATATATGTCACGCAAACAAACAAATAAATAAGCGAAATGGAATGAACGACAAAAAATTTTTTTGTATATTTTTTTTAATGCAATTTGTTCATTACCTTTTCCATATTCCGCTATTTTTTTTTTGTAAATATATCCAGTGCTTCCACTTATCCTCCTTATTCTCCTCCAACCTATTCTTCTCTTCGTACAACCGTTTCCTTCGATCTTCCCGCCTCTTTCTCTCCGTTTCATTAAATTCTTTCACCATTAATTCTTCTTCCAGTTCAATCAACTTCTCCCCTTGATACTTCCCCTCCTTTAACTTCCTTTCTGCCTTTTGATACTCATTTTTTGCATCTTCTAACACTTTTTCAAGTCTTTCGAACGTAGCCATTGAAAATTTTTTTAAACAATTTGATTTAGAAATGATTGTGGCGCGACTGTTCATTTGTGGCGTGGCAATTTGTTTTCATAATTAAATTTTCGCATAAAAACATTTTTATTGAATTGTAATATTCAACTGGTAGTTTTCCTTCTTAAATATATAAGCAAAATTTTGAAGTTCTAATTGTTGAAAGGAAGGTTTTGAATCCTTTTATTTTTAGCTAAAATGAATGAATTAATGAATTTAGTTAAAGCATATAATAAAGGATGTTAAAAAATAAAATTTAAAAAAAATAAACCGGTAACTTTGTTCTTTATGATAAGCTCTATTAAAATTACCGGTCAGATTTATAAAAATAAGAGCTCGATAAAAAAAGTTTTTTTTTTCGTACTTTGTCAGGTGTGACTACATGAAGATTTAAAAATTGAATATTAATCAGGGTCGTGAGAAAGGACCATTCTCATTAATAATGTCAGATATTCATAATCATAAAAACCAAATAGTAAACAAAGTATGCTAGCAATTTAAATAAGATACTAATGATAAGTGAGCTTTATAGCGTAAAATTTCTCAAATAAAACGAGAAGCATAAAATTCGTGTAATAGAATTAGTTTTCATGGCAGAAATTTCGTCATAATTATTTTCTTAAAATGGTCAAAATCAATGATGTCATTTCTGATCCCAAATCACACCACACGAAAAGATGATATACAAACGGGCTTATATCACTTACCTCTGTTATTAAGTAAACATATGACAAATAAATAAAAAGCTTATGATTCTAAATCCCGAATTACATTTAATTCCCATTTTTTGACCTAAGAATGGGTTGCTTAATCTATTGGACTAGTTAACATAATAAATATGATTTTAAAGATTGTTCCTTATTTTGGAAGAAATTTTAATGTGATCGGAAATGACTAATCACATGATTCATTTATTTGTTATGAATAAATTTGAGTCAATGACGTTATGATTTTTGAACTATCGGTAGAAATGATCGAAAGATCGACATGATGAGCTCGGAATATCGGATGATTTGTAAATATGTGGTGATATTTTAAATTTACATATAAAAAGTTCTGGAAACATCTTTTAAAATATTATAATCAATAGACCATATTTGTAATTTTTAATTAAATTAACGCCATGAATTAACCTTATCTGGAGATTTCTGGTAAGTTCTACCACAAAATTACAAACTTATAAATATACATTAATTTATTGTGAAATGAAAAAACAAAATTTTTTCTACCTCGAATATTAAAAAAATTAAAAATGGACAGACAGCAAAATACGAATGACAATCAGTCACAACAACCAGAACAGAATCAAAATAATAACGGATATTCCGGGTTCTTCTTTCCGTTCACATTTCTGTTCGGAGAACAACAAAATCGAACAAGAAACCAACAAACGCCAACATCACAAACAACATCAAATGACAATCAAACCTCTACTAACGAAAATGATTCGCCTCAACAACCACAAGGACAAGTTCCTCAATTTCATTTCTTTGTACTCCCGATGCCAGTAACACCAGGAGGAGATGGTCAAGCAACCCCAAACATTTTTTTCTTTACACCCTTATTCATGCCACAAGAATCTCAAAAACCACGTGCTTCGGAATCGGTCATGAAAAAATTACCAGTTGTCACCATAACAAAAGAACATTTAAATGCAAAAGCAAGTTGTCCGATTTGTTTCGACCTTTTCGGTGAACAAAAAGTAAACGCAACAGAAAATGGAGATAATGAAGCTACAGTAACCACAGAACCGGTACGTAAGATGCCATGTAATCACTTGTTCTGTGAGTCGTGCCTTTTCCAATGGTTAAGGCAAAATAATACGTGTCCTTTATGTAGAAAAGAAATCGAAGCTGAAGGAGAACAACAGCAAACTGATAATAATAGAGATAATAATAATGCACCTTTGAACGGTACCAATAATTCAATGTCTCCGAACACGGAGACAGCGACGACCACACCGATAAATACAGCACAGTCAAATTTACCATCCATTAATTCACATTCACATTCACATTCACATTCAGCACATTGTTCAACAATCTCATGTGCCTTGTCGAATGTTGGATGTTGTGGGGAAATTGACAACAATTTACCAACACCTATAATTACATTACCACGATGCCATCACAGGTTTCACGTTTCATGTTTAAGAACTTCTTTATTAGTTGAGGGTTATTCGCTTTGTGACATCAATTCGATGTCACGAACGTTGGACTTTCATTGTCCAACGTGTCGTGCTCCTGCAATCCTGCAAAGCGATGTGTTGAAATTGGCTCCTGCTCCAAATGAAAACGAAAATGCAATTTCTCCACGGAGTGAACGGCAGGACTTTTCAATATTTAACTTACCTATAACTATTCATATATCGGATTTATCGGATTCCGATGATATGGACTTGGATTAAAATAACGAACTTTTTATATAATTCGAAATGGACTTTTTTATTTAGAAAATTTTAGTTAATAGATAATACCGTAATTAATTTTAATTGTAAAAAATTTTTCCCTTTTTTTATAAACAAAATTTCAATTTTAATATAACATATAAATCACAAATAAATCATTTTCAAAATAAAAATTCTGATCAAAATTTATTTTTATGTGGTAGTACAATTTAAAATTAAATACTAATTATTATTACATCATTCTTAACAACTTTTAAACCAGTTTCTCTCGCACGTAGATAGATTACCCCAGGAGAAAAATAAAAGAAATGTCTTAACAAGGAACATCAGCAAATGCCCCGCAATTTTTTTGTATTATGTTCCATTTCTTTTCTCTACATATGATCTATCTATTGAATTCAATCGGAGTTTTACTTGATCACGTTGATCACACCCAAGATTTATATATAAATATCAAATATCAAAAAATGCAAAATGAAAAAAATATTTCATTTTTTATTTAAAAAAGCCTTTTTCGTTTAAATCTACCAAATATGACTATTGCTCTTCACGAAATCCTTAAAAAACGTATGTTTAATCGCTACTATTTTTTTTTTTTGACGCGCTGTCTTATTTATTCTGTTAATTTATTTTCGGTTAGGCATCATTGATGCAATAAAATCCGTTCAACCTCCCGGTGGTTGGAAAGTTGTAGTGGTAGATGAAGCATCATTAAAGATAATAGAGTCTGCTTGTAAAATGTTTGATATTCTTGAAGAGAAAGTGACTTGTAAGTATTTTAGTTTGTTTTCAAAAAAAGTTTTCCGGTTTAATTTTTTATCCTTTATTAGCGGTAGAAAATCTTGAAAAGTCCCGTCAAGCTTATCAATCACTTGATGCGGTTTATATAATTACCCCAACTTACGAGTCTATTAGTAAAGTGATTGAAGATTTTAAAAGCAATAAGACGCCATTATATGCTCATATTCATTTATTTTTTGTATCAAGTAAGATTTAGAATATATTTTTATTTTATGTTTTATTTAACCTGTTAATTACATTTTGATCTTTTTCTTTTAGGACCCGATGATAAATTACTTCATATGTTAGATTCTGCATTACCGAGGGATTACTTGATACAACGTATCGATCTCTTTATTGACTTTCATGGTATATTTCATAAATTTATTATACTTTGATATTCTATTTACATTACGTTGAGTGGCTTATTTAGTTATTTTAATTTTTATAGCAAAGGAAGCTCAAGTTTATTCATTTGAATCACCTTCAAGCTTTTTCAAGTTGTATTCACCTGAAGAAAATGCTGGAATTGACGATGAATTAAGGATACTTGCTAAAAAAGTAACCATAATGAATTTTCTATTGAAATCTTAGTTAAAAATTTTGTACTAAACGTTTTATTTTGTCTGTTAGTTACTTTCTGTATGCATATCTTTAGGTGAAAATCCTTTGATCCGTTATCAAAGATCTCTTGATTCCGATCATCCAACAAAGGCTTTACCTTATAAATTGGCAATGTTGGTTCAAAATGAAATGGACAATTTCGTTAGACTTAATCCAGGTTTTCCTGTAAATATTATTCTAATTATTTATATTGTTTATTGATCAATTAGTTAATTCGAAATATTATTTCTAGCCACAAGATTCTTCTCGTCCACGTGGTGTACTATTCATTGTGGATAGGACTATTGATATGTATAGTCCGATATTACATGAATTCACTTATCAAGCAATGGCTAATGATCTTTTGGCGATTGAAGATGGAAAGTATAATTATAATTATACTGGTGAAGATGGCACTCAAGCAACAAAAGAGGCTATACTTGATGAGTCGGATAGCATATGGGTGGAAATTAGACATAAGCATATGAAGGATTGTATCGATAAGCTTATGAAAGATTTTAATGAGTTTTTGACAGATAATCAAGGATTTGCCGAAAAGTATGTTTTAATTGATTTATTAGGGAAATTTTTTATGTAACCTACTTTTCTTTTAAAGGAATATTTATTTATTTTAGAGATAAGGCCGTCAACTTAAATGATATGAAAAAAATGTTGGCGACTTTACCACAATTTCAAAATATGAAAGAAAAGTTTTCCGTACATTTAAGTATTGCACAAGAATGTATGGCTTTATTTGAGAAGGAAAGCCTCGATAAATCTGCAACCATAGAACAGGTATGATTAAAATGATCATTATTTTTTTAATCAAATTGTTATTATATTAACTATTTCTTTTTTTAATGTGGGAAAATAGAATTGTGCTACGGGTCATACAGCTGATGGAGCTCATCCAAAGACTTTAGTTGAAGATATGGTTCCATTATTAGATAATCCTGTTATGAGGTAAAAACAATTGCATTTGTTGGTTAAAAAAAAGTTGATTTTCGATTTCTAAAAATTATAAATACCTCTTGTATATTATAGTTCATTGAATAAGACCAGAATGCTTATGTTATATATTATGTATAAGAATGGAATCCTTGAAGAAGATAGACGCAAATTGCTTGAGCATGCAAGGATTACATTAGAAGAAAATGATGCCATAAACAATTTGTTATTATTCGGAGTCAAATTGATTAGGGTCAGAATTAAGTTTATGTTTAGGATAGTTATGTCAGTTAGTTCATGAGATCACTTTTTAAGTATTTATTTATTCATTCATTAATTATTTCTTTAGATTCAATCAAGTTTAAAAAAGAACAAGAAATATCGACAAAAACCTGGTGAAGAAATTCAATACGAAATTTCCCGTTATATTCCAAAATTAAAACTTCTTTTGGAGGTAAAACATTTTTAAGAGATTATTATTATTATTTTAGCAATTTTATTCATATTTATTAAGATATTATTTCCTAGAGTCATATTAAAGGCAATATAGATCACACTGCATATCCATACACAAAGGATCCAACAGGTGATCCTGAAGGATTAAAAGGAACACAACAAGGACCTGTATCGTTAAGAAGTGCGAGGGCTGGTTGGTATAAGAAAGGTCAGGCGGTGAGTTTTTTTTTTTTATTTTCCTTTATTTTATTTCTTTAAATTTTATAAATTGTAAGAATTTCAACTTAATATCTCAATGCTTTAGGTTGAAAATCGCGTAGGTAGAATAATAGTTTTCGTTGCTGGTGGAGTTACATATTCTGAACTTCGTAGTTCTTATGAAGTTAGTGCCAAATTGAGTCGAGATGTCGTTATTGGTGAGTAATTTTTATTTTTATCACCCACCTATCAAGATATAATATTAACATTCCTATCTTTTTATTATAGGATCGACGCATATCATTACACCTAACAAATTTATTGATGATTTAAAACTTCTTTATCGACCTCCCACTAAAAATTATGTGAAGTCACCAATGCAAGCAATCTCAACACCACCACAATTACCACCTCGTCCGGGTTCAACAACTAATACACCACCACCATTTAATAGATCAAACTCGCCATCGGGTTATTTTCCACAGCAAACTTCTTATCAAACACCACAAGCTGGATATCCACAACAAGGATTTCCACCACAAGTTGCTTATCAACAAAACGCATATTCATATCCGCAACCACCACAAAGTGGAGGTTATCAGCCACAAGGACAATATCCATTACCACCATTACCACCACCACAGCAACAATATGGTCAAGTTCAAAAACCATCATCTACTAGCTCAACAACTTCATCCAAATCTAAAAAACTTTTTGGTGGTTTTGATAAATTTTTGGGTTAAATTATATATACAAGTAGTATGTGTTTATTATATATTGTTTTGTAGTTTTAGGTAATAATCAAATAGATAGGTTATCAATAATAGTTATTATCACAATTATTTGTCTTGAATATTTATTAAATATAATTCCTTTTATAAAAATTTAATTTTGCTTAATTATATTCTTTTTCTATTTTTAATATTTGTAAAATCTAAAGAGGAACAAAAAAATGATCATAATGGAAAAATACTTTTTAATATTATTAGTTATGTAAAAGTGATCTTTTTAACCTAATTTAAATTCACCGATTCTGAAAAATAAATAAACAAAAACTAAACTAAGCACAGAAGGCCATAGATTAAGTTGAATAACGAAATAAATCCATAAAGTAGCAAGAGGGGGACATCTACGCATCACACCATAATAAGAAATTTTGTTTAAAACGTAGATTAAATAACAACCACATCCTATTGAGCCTAAAAACATAAATGCTTGTATCCAAGATTTTTTTACATTTTTATTTGTATAATATACAAAAAACCATAAAACTATTTTTTTGATACAAAGTTAAAAATTAGTTTATTAAAAAAAGAAAACTATCCCTTTGTTTTGAAAAGCAAGGACTTACTTGGGGCAATCTTGAGTACTCTAGTCGAGAAAGGGAAGATGGAGACATCCTCATTATATTGTCTATGTACTAAAATGTCCATAACAGTATAAACAGAACAAAGTGGTATGGTATAAAGGAAAGCTTGAAAAGTTGGTCCGTGATCTAAATATTCCTCCAAAGTTTTTTCTTGACGAACAGGTTCTATTTTTTCAAACATTTCCTTTATACCAGATTCATTAATTAAACGCATTTTTTCATCATCTGGTATATCATCAATTTCCGAAGAGTATGTTGGGGATTTTTTATTAACACGTTTTGTTTGATTACCCATGGAGAAATCTACAAAAAGTTGCAAATGTAGTTTTGAAATTTTGGAGGGAAAAATGTAGTTAGGATTTATGTGATCTATGTATGTATATATTTATTTCAATTGTGTGACAAATATGTTTAGATGCATAGTATTACTCTAAATAAGGTGTTTGAATTTATTTATTTCAATATGAATTGAAAAAAAAAAAAAAAAAATTGAAATTTCTCAATTGTACCTTTTTGACAGTGGGACATTTTTTTTTTTAAATGTTCCCAAAATATTCTTTCATTGTTATACCTTACATTTTATAATTCATTATGAATTATTCAAATAACCATTTCGTTCATCATTCCGTCCGTAGAAACTCTATAATCAACAATTCTGAAGACGACGGGTCGTCTTCTTTGAATAGTTATCCTCCTCAAAGGTTATGTCCCGCAGGCGGAATACATGATTTCGGTATATCATAATAAGTCGTTTAAATTTAAAACCTCCTCCCCTTCCATTTTTTTTTTTTCTAATATTGTTTTTTTTCCTTTAGAGAACGAATGGTTATTTGAGGATTATTTGTCAGCATGCCTTTGTTGTCCATGTTATCTATTTAGAGAATGTTGTTGCGGGTATTTTTATAGGTATTTTTTTTTTCATTTTCATTTATCTTTTCTTTCACTTTAAAAAAAAAAAAAAAATTTATTCATGAATTGTGCTTTTCTTCATTTCGAATTTACATTAAAGAAATCCTTTTGGTGACGGCTATGATGGTAATTATAAATATCATTTATTTACAATCGAACTTTTTCATGACTTTAAATTCAATTCAACTAAAAAATAAATTCGTTAATTGGTCCATTGGATTTAATTAGGCGTAGGTTGTAGACCAACAGTACGTATCCGATTATTTTTTTCATTTCAACAAATTTTTTTTTTTTTTTTTTTTTTTTTTGAAATTCAAAGCCAAATCCTAATCTTCTAGGGTCCAGGAACATGTTCGAAATGTAAGCAATCAGAACAACAGACAAAAGATTCTTATGCACTACAGCAATTTCAAACTCATACAGGCGCAGGAGTACATGCACCATCACCGCCACGTGTGCCGGCACCCGTGCAATATGATGCTACACGTCAAATGGTATACCATCCTCAAATGACATTTGCTCCCCAAACTCAAATACATCCTTCAACGATATTATTGAATTCTCCTCCACCATTAATACCTACCCCTCCGCCTCCTTATCCCACTCGTACCCCCCCTCCTCCTATTTATGATGAGCAGATTCAACCTGGTCGGAATCATGATTTTGATAATCAATTCCAAGATCATGTTATGAATCCTAACGGTGATGAACGAGAAAATATGTCTCAGAGCCAAGTTAGAGATCCGAATGGTGATAGTCGAAATCATCTTAGTAATATTTCATATGACCAATCTAGGTTTCCACAAATCATAAATTACAGTCAATTTCAGAATAATCGTGTTATGAGTCCAAATTTTGACAATAGGAATTATTATCATAATAATTATAATTAGTCAAAATGGGAAATTTTATAAATTCGGCCAAAAATATTTTTGGCATGCATCGTGTTTAATAAATAATAAATTATTAAGTTATTTGTACAACTAAATATAAAAAAAAAATTACCAATGGACTTTTGAATAAATTTTTCATTTTCATTTTTTTTTTTTTTTTTTTTTTATAAAAGAAATCTTTAATTACATTTCACCGGATTTTGATCTATTTTTGTCATCTCGAATTCAAAAGTGTAACTTACACGATGTTTTAAAGAATAATTAAAAAATTGGAAAGTTTTATGTAATGAACCAAATTACTCAAGGATCTGAGTGATTACTCCAGTCCCAACAGTTTTTCCACCTTCACGAACTGTAAATCTCATTCCGGGTTCAACCGCAACATCATGTACAAGGTCACATTCTAATTCGGCATTATCACCTGGCATGACCATCTTTTCTTCAGGATTTTCCGTTCCCTTGGGATACGTTAAAGTAACCGTGACATCTGATGTACGAAAATACATTTGTGGCCTATAATTCTGCATAAAAGGTGTATGTCTTCCTCCTTCTTCTTTTGTTAAAATATATAATTGTGCCATAAATTTCTTATGTGATTTCACTGTACCAGGTGTTGCAATGACTTGTCCTCTTCGAATTTGCTCTCGTTTAACACCGCGTAATAATGCCCCCATATTGTCTCCTGCCATTCCCTTATCAAGTTCTTTGTGAAACATCTCGATGCCTGTCAAAATGGTTTTTGTTGGAGGGCCCATACCAACAATCTCAATTTCTGCACCTTTCGTAATAGTTCCTCTCTCCACTCGACCCGTAGCCACTGTGCCACGTCCAGAAATTGAAAACACGTCTAAGCGAGGGAAAAGATGAAATTAATACATAATGATGTACTGATCAATCTTCACTTTTTTCTTTTTCTTGGCCCTTACTTGCCTTCAATGGACATTAAGAAAGGTTTATCCAGATCCCTGACAGGAGTAGGAATATACTTATCCACCGCGTCCATCAAATTTTCTATAGCCTTCTCTCCAATTTCAGGATCTCTTCCTTCAAGAGCTGCAAGAGCGGATCCTTGAATAATTTGCGTATTTTCACCATCAAATCCATATTGTGTCAACAAATCACGCATTTCCATCTCGACCAATTCCAACATCTCTGGATCGTCTACCGCATCGACTTTGTTAATGAACACCACAAGATTTGAAACACCAACTTGTCGAGCAAGAAGTAAATGTTCCCGAGTTTGAGGCATTTGTCCATCCGTAGCTGACACAACGATAATAGCTCCATCCATCTTTTGTATGAAAGTATCAGTTGAATTAAATTAGGCAAGTGAGGAAGTTTTATGACGTAACCTGTCCGTTTAACCCACCTGAGCTGCACCAGTGATCATGTTTTTGATGTAATCAGCGTGACCGGGACAATCGACATGTGCATAATGTCTGGCATTAGTTTCATACTCTACGTGTGCCGTAGCAATGGTAATTCCTCTGGCTTTCTCTTCAGGTGCTTTATCAATTTCACCATAATCCTTGAACTGTGCTTGCCCTTTGCTCGCCAAACATTTAGTGATCGCAGCCGTCAAAGTGGTCTTTCCGTGATCCACATGTCCGATTGTGCCGATATTTACATGTGGTTTTCCACGTTTGAATTTAGTTGATTCGGTCGCATAAGATCTATTAACTAAAAATTATTTAGATACATATTATGGAACCATGTTTTGAATTTCTTATCCTTTTAGGTAAATAAAACACGTGTATATTATAAAAATGAAGAATCATACTTATGCCACATCTCTGTAAATTAAATCGTATCGATGACGTGCCATGTACTTTTGACGAAGTTATGAGGTTAAGGGTGGCCTAGGAAAGAATTTGTGATCGCAATTCAAGCTGGATCATTACAATCGGACAAAAAGAAGAGATTTTTGACAACACATATCAACGAAATTCTTTGTTCGCTGAAAGCGCGGATCAATGGGTAATTTGATTTAGAACCTTTTTTTTTTAATTACGAGAATTTCTATTTTCATTTTACAATACCGATGATCCGCGACTTCTTTTGCAGCAAAGAGGATATATAAATAACAATTTGTACATACCACTTTGACATTTTTGAATACGATACCGGAAACAACCAAAGCTAAAATCAAAAAAAGAAAAATTTGACATATTCTTAATCTCTTTGTTATAAATAATTACATTTTGAAATTTTTTCAGAATTCTATAAATTTTAATAACTCACGACTGGCAGAACTGTTCAAACACCTCTTTGATGTCTGGACAGTCACGGACTGAACACGAGGTTTTAACTTGAAGCTAGCTGTTCTAAGTGAATACATTTATTTTGTTCTCTTTTTAATGTAGAATTAATATAAGATATTTGAAAGTCGAAAAAAAATATTTGTCATCGCATCTGATTTTGATCGATAGATCCGCAGTTAATTATGAAGGTTTAAATCCCTAATTTTATGTTTCACCCGTATGATAGTAACCCATAATGAAGAGAAAATCCACTATTAAAAAGGCTCCGACCAAGAAAAAGGTTAAAGAAGACAAAAGTCAACGTAATTTGGAATTTTATTTTAACAAACAGAGTAAACCTACAAATGAAACCGGTTCTAAAAAACCAGAGGAGAATTCTAACAAGGAAGAGAATATCAAACAAATTGACACTATCGATTTGACGAATTCTGCTTCCGAAGAAAATTCGGAGTCAAATGCAGATAATGCGAACGATAAGGAGTTACGCGTCACAGTCGAACAACCAGAAGCAGTGATAAACCTGGATACTTCCGATCAAAGTGGGACGGTTTTTGAAAAACCCGCTAGTAGTATTACTTCAATTTTTAATGATTCTAATATACAAAGTAGTAAGGTCACGTTAAATAACAACGACGAATCATCTTCAAGTTCATCAAAGATGTCAGTTGATATGGATGTTTTGGAATTTGATCCTTCTAAAATTAATTGGATTGGATTGAAAGCTCCTTATAGCTTCTTAAGCGACACTTTTGTCATTGTTGAAAAAACAACAAGTCGACTTAAAATTATAAATTGTCTGACTAATATGTTTCGCGCTATTATTTATAATGATCCCGATAGCGTTCTACCCGCTGTATGGCTTTCTTCAAATGCCATAGCCCCTTCATATGAAGGCATAGAGATTGGAATTGGTTCACAAATATTAACGAAAGCCGTCACTTCCATATCTGGGACTACTTCAAAGGCATTGAAAAAGTATTATGACAGATATGGAGATTGGGGTGATGTTACTTACGCAGCAAAAGTTTCAATTCGAACTATAGTAGAACATAAACCTTTAACGATTGAAAAAGTATACAAAACACTAATCTCTATTTCCAAATTAAAGGGGACTGGTGTAATAGATCAAAAGGCGGATTTAGTGAAAAAACTATTAATTTCTTGTAAAGGGGAAGAGATTAGGTACCTTACAAGAACTTTGATACAAAATCTGAGGATTGGAGCCGTGAGGACGACGTGTTTAATCGCTCTTTCGCACGCGTTTTGTCTTACAAGGTCAACAAATATGGTTATCAGTGATTCAATTGACGATAAAAATCGTCTGTTTATTGAAAATATCAAAAAAGAACCAAGAGATTCTTTGAATGCTAAATTAAAAGCAGCCGAAAAGTTGTTGAAAGAGTATTATGCACAATTTCCCAATTATAATGGCATTGTTAAATTTTTATTAGAGAATCCGATAGAAAAATTGTTGGATATCAGTTATTTAACAGTTGGTAAATACAATATTGAGAGAATCGGGCGTAATTTTATTTACTCTTAGAAGAATGTATGTTCACAAGACACAAGATGATAGCTTTACTTTTTATCATGTAGGTGTTCCCTTAAAACCGATGTTGGGAAAAATTACTCGAGATTTGGGGCAAATTTTCAAAAATCTTGAGGGAAGATCATTCAATTGTGAATACAAGTATGATGGACAACGCGCACAAATTCATATGGACGCTGATGGGAAAGTGTCAATATTTAGTCGTAATCTAGAGGTAATTTCCCTAATTCCTATCGAGAATATTAATAAAACATATAATTAAATTATTTATTTTTTTACTTGTTGGACAGAATATGACCGATAGATTTCCTGACATAGTTGAGATGGTTCCTCAATTTTGTATGAATAATGTTGAATCTTTTATTTTGGATTGTGAAGTCGTAGCTGTTGAATTGGATGGAAAAATACGAAATTTTCAAGCACTAACCAATCGATCGAGGAAGAATGTTGAGTTATCTTCCATCAGTATACCTATTCGTATTCTTGCCTTTGATTTGATGTATTTAAATGGCGAGGTAGGTTTGTTGGAAGGATTATTTTATTATTTACTATTTAATCTAATTCGTGTTTGAAGTCTCTATTGAAAAAACCATTAAGAGAAAGGCGAGATTTTCTGAGGACCAAATTCACGGAAATTCCAAATCGATTCACTTATGTTAATCATATTGAATCATCTGATCCTGAGGAGATTCATTCGTTTTTTAAAGAATCCATGGAATTTGGATGTGAAGGTATAATGGTTAAGGTGTTGGATGATCCACCAAAAAGCTTGAAAAGCAAGACACGAATGAATTTATTGTCTAGTTATGAACCAGGTTTGTCTAATAGTATATTATTTATCCAATGGAAGTGTAATTCCTTTCACTTGTTACTAATGATTATCTTTTTAATTTTTTCAATAGATAAAAGAATCGAAAGTTGGTTAAAAGTTAAAAAAGATTATGTTGATGGCATTGGTGACAGCCTGGATGTTGTGGTAAAAGATATTTCGTTTCATTTTTTTCGTTCATTGGGATAACGCGAAATTTCCTCAAAGTTTATCATAAAATTTATTTATGAAAGCCTATTGGTGCGTGGTATGGAAATGGTAGGAAAGCCGGATGGTGGAGTCCAATTTTATTTGCAATTTATAATCCTGATAGAGAAACATTTGAAAGTGTGTGTAAATGTATGTCAGGATTCAGTGATGATTTTTATAAGGAATTAAGGTTAAAGTACTCTGAAGAAAATGGTAATATATCAGAGTATAAAAAATCATATTTTGATGTGGATGATGGTCTTAGACCAGATGGTATGTAAATTATTATGTAACGCATTTATGAATTCATGATCTCTTTCCTAAACTCCTTGTAACTTGTCAGTTTGGTTTGAGCCAAGTGAGGTCTGGGAAATTAAAGGTAAAAAAATATTTATTTCTTAATTCTACGTAAATTTATTTTCAATTATCCGAATTTTCATTGTGGAATATCAGGTGCGGACATTACAATATCACCAGTTTACAAAGCAGCTATTGGCAAAGTAGATCAGAATAAAGGTCTTTCATTAAGATTCCCGAGATTTGTAAGAGTTAGGGAAGACAAGGGCATTGAAGAAGCCACTACTAGTGCACAATTAGCGGAATTATTTTATAATCAGGTGAACGAAAGAAAAGAAGAAATAATTGAAGAGGAAATTGATGAGGAAGATGCCATATGATTGTTAAGTGTAATTGGTTGAATTATTTATGGGGAGCTGCTTCCCTTCCACGATAAATTTCTCAATTATACAAAAAAAAATTGTGGATGCCTCATTCCATAATCAATATCTTTTAATATATCCATCGGTAAAACGCGAACCTTTAATTATATTTTATTGATTTAAATCAATTTAATTTGATTAAATTTTATTTTAATAAAACTTATTTAATATACTGTATAATTTAAAATATAGAACCTTTTTTAGTAATTAGTTAATACTTCAGTTTTGCAAAGGCTAGAAGTACTTAGAAAAGCTTGAAAATACCTATTTTGATAGTAGCCTATGATCGAAAAGTAAAGGTAAAGGAAATAATTAATTAAAGAAAAATTTTATAAACAAGTAATAGTGTGACAGTTAGAGTTAACTATATACCAAATGTCTGATGCTTATCCAAAATATATAGAAGAATTAAGTATAAAGTTAGTTGATTCAATCTAATTGGTCCTATAGCCTATATATCTTTGCTAGAAACTTTGCCAAAACATAATAATAAAATTATTAATATTCAAAATAATGATGACTGGTGTTTTGGATGATATGCTCTAAAAACTTTGCATTCAGTTAAGATTTATCTAGAAAGAAATTCATATCGAATATATGAAGGATTTGCGAAAGAACTTAATATGGATGACATTCCAGTTCCAATACCAGTCTCAATACCAGTTTATAAAAATTTCAAAGAAAATAATCCTGAAATCAGTTTATGTGTCTATAAATGATATAACCAAAATAAATGTCTAGACTTTCATTATATTTCAAAGAGAAGAGGAGATGCTTATAAGCAAATAAATCTTCTAGTAATTATAAAGGAAGATAGAAGCTATTATTGCATAATCAAAAATTTACATAAGCTGATATATAATTATAATAAGTATAAAGGATGAAAATATATCTGTCAATACTGCCTTCATATATATTCTAGTGAAAAAGTATTTGTAGAGTATAAATGCAAAGGCTTAAATAAAGCTCTCTAATGATTACAAATGTCAATAAAAAATAGGAGTGACAAAGCTTTCTAAAATCATAAATATATACAAACAAATTCATATCACATTTTTTGGGATCTAGAAAAGGTAACTCCAGAAGAAAAAATGAAGCTAACTAATACTGAAAGATTACAAAAGTACAAAATGTGTGAATATTACTACGTAATAGTTTGCATAAATAGTTTATTTAATTATGAAGTAGTAAGCTATAATCTATATAAGAGTCCTGATCAGTGTATAAAATCTAAGTTAAAATTTATGTGCACAAATTAATTAATTATTACTAAAATAAGAAAATCATAATATTTTCTTATGTAAAATTACCTTTTTTATACATAATTTATCTATTTTTAGTAATAATTTGTGCACATTTTATGTTGTGTAATATGTGCACACAAAAAATTAATGTGCACATGTGCACATTGTGCATATAGATTTTACACACTGGTCCTGATACTTTAGAAAAATTTGTTGAGAATATTGAAGAAGAATTTCTAAATATTCAGGCAGATTTATCTACACCTGCAGAAATAATAATAGCATCAGGAAATCTTAAAGTATACAATAAAATGACAGAATGCTGGATTTATAAGGGATCTTTCTTAATACCAGTACTAGAGATAATATAAAAACTCAAAGAAGCAAAGTATAATTTATTAGAAATCAAAGAATAGGAATCATATATGGAAAAGGAACATTTTAAAAAGAAAGAGACATAGAAAAGATATTAAAAAGCTTTAAATTCACTTAATCGAAAAATAAAAGATTATGATCATATTATAGAAAGTACAGAAATCCAGCTAATGTGTCTCAAAGATGATGATCTAGATCTATCTCACTATATTTCTACATCTGAAATGTTTAATAATTTTATATACAAAAGTAGCAGGCAAAACTTAAACTTATGACAAATATAAATAAGTATCTAATAGATGAGAGTAGCATTTGTAATGATATAATAATGATAATTTATTGATATGCTAAAGCAAATAATTCCAACTATAATTCTAGCAAGCCAAATTCTTATATTTTGTATAAGGATATGAATGCTTTATATTCAGATGCAATAATCCAATATATGCCTATAGAAATTTTAGGTAAAATAAATTTAGAGGAAGTATTAAATATTCAAAGCATCGCATCTAATACTAAAATTGGTTATATGCTTAAAATAAGTAATACCAGAAAATTAGCTTAGCTTATTGTCCGAAGCGTATGCGTAGGACACTTACACTTAGACTCCATATCAATGATAATTCTGTTTGTCCACACGTGTTTATTATCCAATGAAATTCAGAGATCAGGTGTATCCGTTAAAATAACAATAATAGCATTAAATTAATAATAATAACAAACCAAACCAATTATTTATTTTTTAATTTATTTTATTTTTAATTCACAATTATGCACTAACACAGTTGATATATTTAAAAAAAATTAAAAACAATTAATGAATTTACAATAAAACTGATCTAAGATTATTTTAACATGTATTTTACAATCTTTTTAATTAATTGTAAAAAATTATTTGTATAATAATATCGTATGCATTATCCTCGTGATTGTATATAATAATAAAATTGAATATAAACCTGTGAATTACCTTTAAGCAATCGATTGTTAAAATCGTCTTAAAAATCGTGTTTGATTTTGTTGATATTTATCGCATCTAAAAATCGTGAATTAAAAATGAATAATCAACTATTTCATGATATACTATGAAAACGAAAAGCCAGAGCTAATGAACCTTCTATCCATCATGATGTTCATCTTGAATGTGATAAAATGAATAAACGTGTGAAAAGAGCAGCTGAATCAGATGATTAGCGTAAAGAAAGATTAATAAAGGATTGTGAACGCAAACGTAAAAGAAAAAATCCTATGTTTTAAAAAGTATTAATGAACGTCTCAATCAACAACAGGAAGAAATTCAGATGCAATATACAGAAGAAGATACTCTTCCTGAATCAGATCGAAAACTCCAATATGACTTTCGGTCTAAGATTAATAGTCTCGCGAATCATCTTTGCTCTATATGTAAAGAACAATTCCCTTCTATCGATCTTGTATGTGAAGCATATCGTCACTGCTATGGAGATAAAAATCCAGTGAAAAAGTTTTTAGCTGTGAATAAAATGGATCCGGTGATGTACCAGATGTTTTATTAGGACTTACTGAGATAGAAGAAATGCTGATCGTGCAAATCTTTCCTATCGTTTCTGTCTATTGCCTTCATGGAGGTCAGTATGCGTACCGTGGTAATGTAATCAATTTTCCACAGGACGTGTTGGAGTTTGCATCGCGACTTCCTCGAAATTCTTCTTCAATTGATATTCTTGTTGTACGCTGTCAATCTGCAAATAGTCTACCTTTTAAGAATTTTAATGTTCGTCAGACTAAAGTTGTTCAAGCTCTTCGCTGGTTAAAAGAAAATAATCGGTATTATGCAGATATTGTCATTGATGAAGAAGTGTTGTGTACTTTACCTGAAAATAGTCCGATTGATGATCTGCTACCTCGTATCAAAGATACTGCTGATCACTTTAATGATGACAATAAAAATGATACCAATGACTTTATAAATAGTAACTTTGTGCTTCTCTTCCGTCTACTAATGAGGAACGTGTTATTGCTGACACGCTTGATCGAATGCAATCTGATGAAAGTCCTGTTATGTGGCCGAAGATTGATAACCATTCTGTTAACAAATTTCAAACTCCCGGGTATATTGCGTGCGCATTTCTCACTCTGTATCCAACTAGTAATGCTGATCTTCATTTAGAGCACATTAGAGATATTAAACCTGCTGAGTATTTTTCGCATCTGCTTAAGTATAAGGATGGAAGGTTCGCTCGTCATACTCGCTGGCATTACTTTGCTTTGAATTCGCAGATGTGATGGTATATGTCAAGCAGAGTTTGAATGGTAAACAATATACTGTTAAAGAAGTACGAAATATAGTTGAAACTGATGGTCGTATAGCTGACAAAATTGTACATTTTGGAGAAGGTTTGTGTGGATCGCGACAATTCTGGAGTAGAAGAAGATTTGAACTAGCAGACATGATTAAACAATTGGGTTCTCAGGGAATGGTGTTTTTTACTTTTAGTGCTGCTGACCTGCATTGGCCAGAACTATAAGGACTTATGTTACAAGGAGATTCTTCATTGACTGATCGAGAATTAAACACGCGTTGCAAGCAAAACTTAATAGATAATCCTCATCTTGCAACTTGGTTCTTTGAGAAATAGTTTAAATTGTTCATAGAAAAGGTGTTGATTCCTAAGTGAAATCTTGATGATTGGTGATACTGTTTTGAGTGGCAGCATCGGGGTAGCACACATGTGTATGGTATAAGTAGGAGGAAAGATGCGCCTAACATTGACTGGGAGAAAATGAAGGAACATGGTTAAGTATCTGGATTCATTATCTACCACGATCAATCCTGACCTTAATGCGTCAGTTCCAGATCAACATCTATGCTAGAAATGATATGAAGAGTTGCATGATGACCTACAAGATTATACTGAATTAGTTAATAAATTATAACATCATATATGATACAACGCATTATATTGTCTTCATGTAAATTGCTCAGGTCAACAATGTTGCAGATTTGGTTTTCCTAAAGAAATTGTGCAAAATATGTGCTTACGTGATGTCAATGGACATCCTGAGCTAATAACTGCAAGAAATGATCTATACGTAAATCCTCACGATCGGTTGCAGCTTTAAGGATGGCAGGCCAACGTCGATTTAAAACCAGTTCTAAGTATGAATACAGCCTTACAGTACATATCTAAGTACGCGACCAAATCGGAACAGCGTTCTGAGACTTTCTCAAATATATTGACAAGGATACTGAATAATAGTAATTCTGATGCTTCGTCTCTGTCAGTATTTCAAGTTCTATTACTCAATACTGTTGCGGAGTGAGATATTTTCACGCAAGAAATGTGTCATCTCCTTCTCAGCCTTCCCCTTTATCATTCAAGTCGTCAGTTTGTATCCTTGAACCTCAACAAACAAACTCTGCGTTGGCTTTGTGGATCTGGAAATGAAAACGATAGATTATTTTCATTAAATGCTAAAGTTGGCTTAACTGTGCAATCATTTTTGCAGAAGTATTGGGATCGACATGTTGAACTTGAGAACGTTACTCTTTTTCAACTTTACCTAAAATATAAATTTTGGAGAGGTCAGTGGAAACCATGCAAATGAGAAAACATTGTCAGAATTTGGCTACGCCTTTCACCTCAAATTAATGGTCCTCAATAGGATGAATTTTGTCACGTGAAGGTGCTTCTTCATGTTAGCCATTCTTCAAGAATTTACTGAAGATGGTGATGACCCCCCATGGTCAGATCTCTTTAATCAGCATCGTGCAATAATTGAATCAGAGCATACTGACTTGCTTGGTTCATCTGTGATTAACCTGGATGAAGAATCAGATAGTGATGAAGAAAGTGATACGGATTCAGAAGATCTTGGTAATAAAGATTAATTATATCCTGATTGGATGATTCTGTCAGAAATGACACCGAATATAACAATCGATATGTCTTCAAACTTGGGTTTACGTGATATCGATCGAAATTTTGACTGGTTTAATAATGTTAGATGTCATTATCCAGATCTTGATCTTTCTGCTACATCTGATTTTATAAAGGAAGCACATAATATAGGACTTGATAATGATGAACGTTTGAATACATGTGTTGTAGACTATCAAATGTTAAATCCTAAACAATTAACGATATTCCAACGAATTGAATCTCATTATGTTAATTTACTTACAAATCCTGGTCTACTTGAGCTGCTTGGAATCATCATAATGGGTATTGCTGGAATGGGCAAGTCATTTTTGATTAAAATGATTCGAAATCGACTTCGTGAAATTGTTATAAATTGTGATATTAATAATCGATCGCCAGTGCTTGTGCTTGCGCTAACTGATGTAGCTGCATTTAATATTCACAGCATAACAATCCATTCGGCTCTTTCGATTCTAGTTTCCAAAAATGATGATCTTGAATTGACCGGTGAGAGACTAAAAAAATTACAAAAGAATTTAGATGGGGTGAGATATTTCATTATAGATGAAAAGAGCATGGTCAGACATCGTATGCTTGCCTTAATTGACTTGCGACTACGACAGGCTTTCCCAGAGCAACAAAATCAAATATTTAGAGGTTATTCGGTGATTTTAGTTAGTGATTTTGGGCAACTTCCTCCTATTCTTGATGAACCTATGTATTCACAAAACCCTCGACGAGATTCATTATCATCTGATGGTATTTCTGTGTATAGACATTTTCGTGAGATCTATAAGCTTGACATTGTTTAACGAAAATTGGGAGATTTAGAAGATCAATGCAATTTCAGAGCCTTGCTGTTGCAGTTACGTGACAGTGAATCAACAATAGATAACTGGAAATTACTTGCAATACGATTTAATGATACATCGACTGTATCACCTGTAGAATAATCCAGTTTTTCAGATGCATCGTGCGTCTTACCTCAGAAAGCTGATGTTGTTAAGTACAACCATAATAAGCTTAAATCTTTGAAATGTCCTGTCGCTAGGATTGTTGCTATTCATACCAGTGGAAGTGAAGCTCATAAAGCTGATTCAGATGTAGCGAAGGGTCTTGAATCGCAGTTGTTATTGGCAAAAGATGCGAGGGTTATGCTTAGAGTTAACTTATGGACAGAAGCAGGGTTAGTCAATGGTTCAGTAGGAACGATCCTAGACATTGTCTTTGAAGAAGGTCAAGTTCCTTCTTCACTTCCTAATGCAGTACTTATAGAATTTGATGGTTATACTGATCCTGCTATCGTAACTGCAGAAGGAATTAAAGTCATTCCAATAATTTCCGTTAGACATACTTGGATGGAAAAAAATGGATCTTGTTCACGCTTACAGCTCCCTATTTGTCTTGCGTAAACAATCATAGTTCATAAAAGTCAGGGTTTGACTTTACGAAGGGCTGTAATAGATCTAGGAGAAAGAGAATATGCAGCTGGCCTTTCATTCGTAGCCATATCCCAGGTTTATGCTCTCGTAAACACCCTTTTTATACCATTTTCATTTGAAAGACTCCGTCGCGTTAGCACTTGTAAGAGGTTACAAGAGAGATTGGCAGAAGAGAGAAGGTTAATTTCTATGATTTCTCAAATGCTGGCCAATTGATAATTTTTTTTTCATTGGTGGGTAAAATATTTAATAAAATTAATTTGTACCAACTAAATTTTGTTATTTTTTTTGTATCACTTTATTGTTACATTTTTAATTTTACTGATTTTAATACGCTTCGGACGCTCTAACGGTTCCCGTTACCTAATATATAATAGACTGGAAAAACTTCTAATAGAGGTTATCAGAAAAATACAGAAAAATCATATGTAAACCAAAATTGCGGTAAATATAAATAATTATAAGAAATTCAAATCATAAAGTTGCAATAAGATATTTATAAAATATTACATTAGATATAGTAAATGATTTATTATAAAAGTTAAAAGATTAAAGAAATTACATTAGAAACTGTTATTTATAAAAAATTTATGCAAGATCTAATATTATTTCTGATGTTTTAAAATACTGAAAAATTTCCAAATTTTCTTTTGTTAAAGTGAAAAAAGAACCTTGAGAATCAAAAGAAAATGATTCAAAATAGTATAAAATTTCTTTAGCCAGAATATAAACAAATAATTTTCCACTTGCCTCACATGTATTTGTCCAAAGATTATCATAAACATTCAGATAAATATTAACTGAAATATATGATAAATAATCCAAAAAAGTTGCTTTTTTTACCCAAGCATATTGTTGGCCTTACTTTTCATACATTGAGATAATTTAAGCAATACAAAATTTATGGTTTGAATAAATGATCAAATATCCACCCGAAATTATAAAATGAAAATCAGAAACATTTGCATCAGTAATATTGTACACTTAAGAAAGAAAATAACTTAAATATTTATCTTTAAAATATAATTAAATTTAATAATACTAATAAAAAAATATTTACCATTAGTTCCAATAGCTGCAAGTTAGTTACGTCCTTTCCAATGTTTTTTTTATTAATTTCTACAATTTTCTTGAACATTTAAGTTACTTATTAATTCAATAATTAATTAATTAGCATTATTAAAATTAATTAAACCAGTTGTTTTAGTTGTTTTAGTTATTTTAGATTGTGTTTTTTTTTTTGAATGCTGTGTAAAGATATCATGATTTTTTTGAATATTAATTAAAGCTTTAGAATACAAAAATCCTTCAGGTGTAAACAATGAATCAAACCTTTCAAAATTCTTTTGAGAAACTGGTTTTTGACTAAGAATATAATACAAATCGGTAAAAGTTGCTAACAAAATATTTGTTTCATTTTTATTTACAAGTTCATTTATATTCGATTCATCATTTGATTCATTCAATATGAGCTGAGAAACTTCAAATGCAACAGTCCCAATATTTTCAATTTCTATCAGTGGTTCAATAGATTCTAAAATAAAAATTTAAATTAAATAATGAAAATAAGTAATAAATATAAATATTAAATTAATTTTTTATACCATTCAAATCTTGATTTTAATCGTCATCATCATTAACTATTTCTAAATTGATCTGATCATTTGGCAAATATTCATCATGACAAAATAAGCTGTTACATTAAAAGTGCAGTTTGATTGTCAATTTAGAGATATTCTGCAAATAATATTGCTTCACTATATCTAATTCGAATTGCTTTTTTAAAATCATTTTCAGATAGCCAAGTATGTAAACATTTAATAGTCTTATGAGAAAGAGATGTATTATCAATATTAAATATATAACCTAAATATACAAATTTGATAAATTTTTTATTAAATACATTTAACTAATATAATAAAATTCTTACCACCAGCTGATGTTCGATCTCTTGATATATTAATTAATCTAGCACATAAAATTTTATCTCGATATATTATACGTTTTTAAATTTTATAAAATTCATAGAAGTTAAATTCAGCTATTACTTGACGTGATATACCAAATACAGTATATATTTAAAGTTTCAATTCCATGTTCCCATAAAAATAAAGGATAGTTAGTATAGTATTCTCAATAAACAATAATAAGCATTACCAAAGATTCTGTCATATTAATGAAAATCTCAAAAATTTGCATAGATATTACTATATTACATATTATACCATTTTGATGAATGAACTATATCACAATGTTAAATGTAATCTTTCTATACTTTAAGAAAAAACATACACACATAACCATTCTAATTCTTGTTTTGTGATCAATTTTTCAATTAAAATATGTATCACATAATTCTCCTAATAATTAATAAATTAAGTATTATGATAAATAATTTCATTATTAAATTTAAAACAACTTATCAAAAACAAATAAGTAATAAAAAGTCCAATCATATCATAAGAAACATTTTCTATTTGAACTATTTGTAATAAATTATCTGAATAAAATATCTGATATGCAGCACCATCGTCTTGTTTGTCAACATTAAGAATATCACGTTTAATAAAGTATATTCATCTTAATATAAAGTAGATATAATTGATCATATTATGCAGTATCTATTTCTAATGAAAGAAGTCATGCTCTAGTAAACAATTGATTCTGTGCTGTTTTTTTAGCATGTTTTGGGTCTTGAATCTGAATTAATAGTCTTTCATATATAATTGGCATTTTAAAATATACATTGTAAAATAAATCATCAAGTGTAAAATATGTTGATAATGAATTCATAATTTACGTTTGAGCATTAAATTCTTATCTTATAACATCAGCACCCATACTAAGAAGATTCAAATTATTTTGGTGTGCAAAGTCTAATATAATACAAAGGATATTATTAATTTGCTCTACAGATTTGTCACTTTTTGTAGGCAAAATAGTAATTACCATTAGAGGTATTTTTTCCATTAGAATCTAATATAATAAATATTAGAATTATATAAACACTGAAAAATTAATTAACAAAGGTTTAAAAAATATCTTGAGAACGATAATCCAAACTTATGTTGCAATTATACATGAAGTTGAAATAGATTATTTCAGATATCTAAAATGATCGAAATGGTCAAAATTATTTTTTTTTGATACTTTTACTAGGCACATGTTGATGGTAAAGTTTAGCTGCATACCCTTCAACAGAATGATATGACTTACAATATATATTTACTACTATAATCCTCTTTGATATATTGCAATCCAATGTGAATTTGCGTTAAACCTAGGTGAATAGATGTTACTACCCAAGTAGACTACCAAACCACTAAACCTCATGATAGAATATTTTGGTATCCGTCATCATTCACATTTATCACAACTACTGATAAAAAGGTCAAGAATAACCTAAGATGATAGCCTATATCATAGTTGCCTCACCATACATCAAAATCTTCCCAAGAATCAAACTCAGGCCTTCAAACCCTAGTTGTGATATAGGCATCATGATGGTTAAAGACAGTGTAATATCAACCACCTATAACCTGTGACTATTGTTTAATCCAAGTTATATAATGCCTACTATTGATCTTATCCTTATATGTATTCTATGCAGACAATGTGGCTTTTGTCCATTACAGACCAACCCCTTGACATAGGTTCTAAACTCAATTGGTTCACTATGTTTCAAGTTACTTACCACTATTACCTGTTGTCAGGGTGGTATGTAGACAAAGCGACTTCACGTAACTTATGCTATAAGAGCTACCATCCTTCATGTAAACAACTATCAAATGGTCATCTTATTCTACAAATTTGTGATCTTTAATGTATATAGTTTGTACACATCCTATGAAATTCATTTCCAGAATTGAATAGGTAAATCCTATAGTAAATTAATACCATAATCTGCCTTGACTAGGGTTAAACTAGGATCTATTGCAGTGTAACTTATAATAGGATCTCAGTTGTTACCAACTAATATAAAGCTGTTAGTCCCTGATCAAAATCAATTTGTTTTTATGTTTTAACAATGCGGTACTGTCAGTACATTTTATTAATTTATACAAATATACAATAATAGTAAAATCAAAAACTAACAAACAAATGACCAACCACCTCAGTAACTATATTGAAAATCCATTTGAGTTGACTGAGTATCGCCATCCCCTCCAACAGATCTACTACACGCATGCATAATGATTACTGTCTTCCACAGGGGATGGAAATAAACCATGGTCAATACTACTTCGTTATCTTCTTTCTAAAGTAAATTTCTGAAAAACAAAAACAAAAATGTAACCCTTCAACTAATGACTCATATATTACTAAAGAATTAACTATGAAACCCAACCATCTACGTTAAAGAATTTACAAAAAAAAGCAACATAAGGGGACTCTACTAAGTTTCTAGCTAAATTGTCTAGTCAATTTCAGATTATAATGACCACCCAGCATAGGTGCGTTCATATCACTAAATTCCAATAGAGGTTCTTTGGACTATTACTTCTAATGCTAAGATGTCTGTCAATTCAGATTACAGCTGATCTTCAACATAAGATAAGATCCAAATCATACAGTTGGTCAAGTCTAAAAAATACTGCGTGAGATTCCGCAGTCTTCGACATCAGAGATTTACAAAAAAAAGTGTTGTTGTTTATGAAGGAATAGAGATGTTATCACGCAGATTTGTATATCCAAAGCAGGGTTGGCAAATGACCAGGTCTTTTGATAAACAGTTTAACCATCAGATTAACAAACTAGATCTTAATAGTCTATTGGTTAATTGGTCTATGTAGCGCAGCTTGCATTTTTATTGGCAAATGACCAAGATCATTTGAGGTCATTTGAGGTCATAGACCAATGAAAAGACCACAAATAAACTTCTAATTAATCAGGTCTTTTGGCTATTAAATAAAATTGATTATCACACAACATTCTTTTTCATTCTTTTTTTTAAAAGTTTTCTTTATTATATTCAGCTCTAATTTTATTTCAATTAATATTATTATAATTACAAATAATATTTTCACTCTTTTTTAAAAAAATTTTGTAAAAATGCTACCAATTAAAAAAAAAATATTAATAATCATAATAGTGGTAAAGAACTATACTATTGGCGATCCTATTTTGAAATTTTAAATGAATATAGAGAAAGCAATCTAACAAATAAACTTTGTATCTGTAAAGAATGTAAAAAAATAAAAGGAGATGATGCTTACAAAGTTACTAATACAAAAAAATGTTGTCAACAATATTTAAAGCAATGTATTTATGTTCAAACTTCTTTACCTATAGAAGAATATGATAATTACTTTCAGAAATTAAAGAGGATGAAAATTATGATAAAAATAGAAGAAATAATAATAAACATTTACAAACAGATGGTAAAAAAATTTTATATTTTATTTAATTTTATAATATTTTAATTTATAATATTAAAAATTTTTATTTATTTAGCTATTTCAATTTCTTTAAGATCTTTGGCAACTTTGTCATATGCATCATCTAAATTTTCAGAGTTTTCAAATTCAACAAATAATGATCAATATTCAACATCTATTTGGAAAGTTCCAAATACAACTCCTGAATTTCATGATCCTAAACCACATTCATCAAATATTACATTTTATATGCCACATTGATTATCAGAACAAGATATTAAACATTTTGAATCATTAACATTTCGAGCAATTGTTTCAGCAAGATTACCATTTACTTGAACCTAAAATGAAGAAATTAAAGAGCTAATAAAATTTATTAATCCTAGTATTACTTTACCATCTAGAAAAATGCTTAGCAATCAAATTTTAAAATCAGAAGCAAAAGAAGTTCAATCTCATATTAAAGATATTGCAAAAAATGATCCAGTTGGACTTACTATTGTATTCAATGGTTGGAAAAATGTAGTAAAACAATCTATATTAGGTGTTGTCATGATTACTTCATCTGGGCAAGTTTTAATTTAAGATGCAGATGATATAAGTAGTGAGAGAAACCATGAAATTGATGTACGTCCAAAAATGCAATCTTGGCTTGAAAAAATTAGCGATAAGAATATAAATATAATTTGTGTAGTAACAGATTCTGCTAGCTTATATGCTGCTGCTAGGTTTGTATTTATTTAAATAATTTATTGTAATTATTATAAAAAATTTATTATTTTTATTAATTTCTTTATTATATATAGAACAAAAATGAGAAATAAAAATCTTGATAAAGTTTTTTTACCATGTTTTGCTCATCAAATGAATTTATGTATAGGCGATATATTTAAAAAATCTGAAAGATACAAAACAGTTTCAATTTAAGCTATTGCAATTGTATCTTTTTTTAACTCATCAACATACTTTTTGGAAAAATTAAAACAAGAACAAATTGAGTTGAATAGTCATTTATATGCACTTCAAAGACTATGCGAAACTAGAATAGTCATTATTTTTGTATAGCAAGTATTTTAAAAACAGAAACTGCATTAAAGATTAGATAAAAATTAATTAATAATTTAAAAATTTTTATTTATAATTTTATTTATAATTTTATTTTTATTTTTTAGTTACTAATAACAAAAAATCAAAGACCGGCTTATTTCTTCTGAAATAACAAATATTGTAAATGATCAAAATTACTGGTTTGATATCAAATAACTTCATAATCTTTTTATTCCATTTTGCGATGCTCTTAATAAATTACAAAGAGATAATACACAGCTGCATGATATATTACATTATTTTGGCTATTTAGTCAAACTTTTTAAATATTATCATAATGAAACATTTGGTCAAAGAATGCATATACAATTAGAACGAAGATGAAAATCATAGGAACAACCTTTACTTTTAATATCATTTTGACTACATCCGGAATATCGTCTTAATAAGTTTAGTAAAAAATATGCTAATATTATATTTAATTTATCAGAATAGTTACAATATTATTTTGAATCATGGTTTTCTCAACTTGCGCAACATTTATTAAATGAGATAGAAGATTATGAATCAAAACAAAGGCCTTTTGATGATATAACTTATCAACAATTTAATGGTGATATATTAAAAATTAGCAATTTTGTTCAAGAAAAGATGGAAGTGAACTTGCAAAAGTTGCTTGTAGAATTTATAGAATTTGTGTAAATTCAGCTTCAGTTGAATGCCTATTTTCTAATATGAAACATTTACATTCAAAAAAGTCATAATCGTTTATCGGTAATTTTTTTTTATTTTTAATTTTAATTTAATAAATATAATTTACTAATAATATTTATTGAGAAAGCATAACAAAGTATTAGTTATGAGTCAATTACAAGCTGAACTTCAAAAGCAAAAAGTTCTTTGAAATATACAAAAACCAAAAAAACATCACAATTTGATTCTACTAATAAAACACCAATCTTAAATGACAAAATTGAAGCAGATACGAATGAATTTGAAGAATTTTAGGTATCAGATTATTCAGATGATGGAAATAGTAGCAATAATGAGTAGGAAGAAAATGATAAGGAAATGACGACGTTAGGTTGGAGTGCATGTATTAATTGTTGGATTGAAATGGTTAATGATGAATTATATGAGGATGAAATTAATATTGAAAATCAAAGTATAAATAAAAATATTTATCCAGCAGAAGATTTGAAAGCAAAATGGGTCTTATTTGACTTATTTACAACTGGCTTCAAAGCATTATCATTTGTTATGAATCTTGATTCAATTGAAATTTAATGTATATAATAATAATAAATTTTGATATTTCAAGTATACAATTAAATAATTCTTTTTATCTTTATGTTTTATTTTTTAATATTGATATAAATATACAGAATACTTTTTTTTTTATCTATTGCACTTGAAAAATGATATCATTTTTAGGTCATTTTATATCATTTGATGTCATTTTTAAACCTATCACTTTTATGTCTAAAATAAATTTCATTTTCTTACAAAATATATAAAAAAAGAAACGTTAATAATGTTTCTCACATCAATGCTGAAAAGAACTCACTATCAATGAACTTATGAGCTTTTTCTAAGGTTTTAAGAGTCTGACCCCCCTACAAAATATAAAAAAAGAAACATTAATAGCATTTCTCATGTCAATATCAAAAAGAATCCACCCTAATAGACTTACGAGTCTTTTCCAAGGTTTCAAGAGTCCGATTCCTACAAAATATAAAAAAATAAACATTAATAACGTTTCTTAAGTAAATACCGAAAAGAACCCACCCTAATGAACTTATGAGTCTTTCTTAAGGTTTCAAGAGTCCAACCCTACAAAATTTAAAAAAAAGAAATGTTAATGATGTTTCTCAAGTAAATGCTGAAAAAACCCATCCCAATGGACTTACAAGCCTTTTCCAAGGTTTTAAGAGTCTGACCTCTATAAAATTTTTTAAAAAAAAATGTTAATGACGTTTCTCAAGTAAATGCTGAAAAAAATCCACCACAATGGACTTACGAGCCTTTTCTAAAGTTTCAAGAGTCTGACCCCTATAAAATTTTTTAAAAAAAAAAACGTTAATGATGTTTTTCATATAAAAGCCAAAAAAATCCACTGCAATAGACTTACGAGCCTTTTCCAAGGTTTCAAGAGTCTGATCCTTATAAAATTTAAAAAAAAGAAACGTTAATGATATTTCTCAAGTAAATGCTGAAAAAACCCATCCCAATGGACTTACAAGCCTTTTCCAAGGTTTCAAGAATCCAACCTCTATAAAATATAAAAAAAAGAAATGTTAATAACATTTCTCAAGTAAATGCCAAAAAAAATACATCCCAATGGACTTATGAACCTTTTCCAAGGTTTCAAGAGTCTGATTCCTATAAAATATAAAAAAAAAGAAACATTAATAACATTTCTTAAGTAAATACCAAAAATAATCCACTCTAATGGATTTACAAGCCTTTTCTAAGGTTTCAAAAGTTCGATCCTTACAAAATATAAAAAAAAAAACATTAATTTGTTTCTTAAAAGTAAATTTTTTAAAAAAAACCCTTACTAAAAAGCATGACACTATAATTAAATAAAGTTTTTGCAAAAATGTAATTTTTTTTATCAGATTTTGATATTTTTTTATTTTATTAAGTAGTACAAGTAATTATATAATTAAATAAAAAATCCGATATCTAATTAATTTAAATCATGTGATTATGCAATAGACCTGAGTCATTTAATAAGATTTATTGAAAAATTATAAATAGACCAAATGACCTAAACTAGAGTTTGGATCTGAGTATCCATATTATCCATGGATATATATTCATAATATAAATTTAATATCTGTTATACATTTAAAAATTAAACCTGGATATGGATAATTTAAAAAAAATTGAAGGGATAATCCATATCCATGTTATTTATGAATATATAGATAATACGGATAATCCATATCCAAGTTATCCAAGGATATATGGATAATATGGATATTGATAAAATCGTCCCTAAAGGAACGATATATCATCATTCCAAATGATTTTTTATCGTTCTTCAGAACGATACATCATCATTTCTTTAGAATGATTATTTTTATCGTTCTTTTGGAATGATACATAATCGTTCCTTAGAACAATTATTTTTTCATCATTCTATCAGAACGATACATTATCGTTCCTTTAGAACGATTATTTTTATCATTCTTTTGGAATGATACATCATCATTCCTTTAGAACAATTATTTTTTATCGTTCTTTTGGAACGATATATCATTGTTTCTTTAGAACAATTATTTTTTTATCATTCTTTTGGAATGGTACATCATCGTTCCTTTAGAACAATTATTTTTTTCATCGTTCTATCGGAACAATACATCATCGTTCCTTTAGAACAATTTCTTTTATCGTTCTTTTGAAACGATACATAATTCTTCCTTTAGAACAATTATTTTTTCATCATTCTATCAGAATGATACATCATCGTTCTATCGGAATGATATTTTTCATCGTTCTTTTGTATCAATTCATTATCATTCCTTAAGAACGATATTTATTCATCATTCTTTTGGAATGATTCAATTATCGTTCCTTAAGAATGATATTTTTTCACCGTTCTTTTAGAATGATATTTTTTCATGATTATCCATGAATATAAGGATTATCCACATATTATCCATACAAAATTATTTATCCATAGATATTATCTGAAGTAGTAAAATGAGTATCTGTAATCCGTTATCTGTACGGATACACAGATTATGGATATACAGATTCAAACTCTAACCTAAACCAATAGACTCTATGGTAATTTTGATATATTGGTTTTCATATGACTAACACTGATCCAAAGTATGTTGATCGTGATCGTTGGTTGGGATACCCCTTGATGCCCACTTTTGTGAGCAAATAATTTTAAAAAAATATACCGAAGAGAGATGAAGAAAAAATATTTTAACAAAAAACAATATGGTTTAAACTTCAACGACAATTTTTATATGGATAGGGTTGGGAAAATAAAGAGAGAAAAATTTTTGAAAAGAGGGTTTTATTTGTTCGCAAGCTAAGCTGCAGCTGCCTTTGAACAGGTACTTTTTTAAAGTAAAAATCTTGGATAAAATCCAACAAGGGAAAAGAATTATTTTTTTGGTCAAAATCATTTTGACTATTGGAGGTGAAAAGTCAAAATGGTCGAAATGACACCATATTACATGATTTTTTATATATAGAAAAAATAAAAAAAACAAAAGATGTTCAATCTCAGTCAATATTGCTCCGATGCGTATGAAACAACTACTATTCAATTCCTCGCGACTAGACGAATTCAATGAGCTAACATTCATTGATTTTGGATTATCTAATCTCAAGATAATCACAATTGTATTATCGGTCGAAATTATAAATCAATAAATTCTACTTTAAATAAAGGAGTCTGGATTTTAAAATACAATTGCAAATATCTCGAGATGGGCTGATCCAAAATCAAAAAAAAACTCTTTCTCCCAAATGTCCAGTTTACTAAAAAAGATCGACAAAAAAATAAAGAATTATGCCAATTATTAAAGTGACTTTTTCTAAATAACAAATGAAAAATACTTGCCAATAAAATAAACAAAATATCCCAATTAACAACTCCAATACTTTAAGCTTTTCTTTAAAAATAACCGAAACAAACAAAAACAATATTCCCAAAAAAAAAAAAACTTTTACACCTTCAAATGAAAACACTATCGATCTAGAAATTGAAAATATTATTACAAACATTATATCGACAGACAACAAGGAACCTTTATTTGAACAAAAAACTGTCAACAATATTTCCTCTAATGAAGTGCCCTCAGAAATGGATATTGATACTACTTCTACCAACACTCCTCTTCATACTTCCTCTTCAAAATAAACTGCTAACAACTCTATGTATGCCCAACCTAAAAGTGATAACATATTTGAAGATACAGGTTTCGACTATATACTTCCTTCCATTAATAAAGAGAAACAAAAACAATTTTAGTTTGAAAAACTCAAACAGAATGAAGGATCACATAACCAAGAAAATCAAAGGGTTTCTTATAACATCATCACTGCTCCAATACATTTTTTCACAACAGACAACACGTCAGACATAAAGGTAAAACCATAGCTGAAAAATGCATATTCATTAATTTTCTATTCATATGATTCAATGGTTACCAAGGTTCCACCTACGTTTCCAAATTTAGAAAGTTTTCAGTCTATTTCCAATCAATAGAGGATATGTCATATGCTATTACAAAAGTACAAGAAATACAACATAATCCTATTTTTATAATTGCTGACCCTGCAGCAAAAAAGCTCAAACAAGATGCCAAAAAGGAAAGGATCCTTAAAGTATCAGACATCCCCTTATTTGTCAAATCCAATGTACTACAAAATTTTTTCTCCAGATATGAAGTGATCATCAGATTTTCAATGATCATCTGAAACCCTTGGCAAATCACTTTCATTATTTTCGAAAATGCTGACATCATCAAGCCTTTTTATAATAACCTTTGGTCCATTAAGTTTCTTGAAACTACGCTCAAAATAGAACTAACTGATCTTAATGTTATGCAAATCTCTTTAAAACAGCAATTTGAACTAAAACTAATTGGTTTTCCTTTCAATACTGACCAACAACAATTAGAAGATTTTCTTGCACATATCAAAGCTAGAACGTGTTTTATACTACGTGATCAACAATACAGACTTAGACCTTACGCATTTATAAATTTTACATTACTTGAAGACCTTAATGTTGCGGCGATGCAGTCTCAGAAATTTAAAGGAAAAACATTATACTGGATGGAACCTTTGACCAAACATTGTTATAACTGTGATGCTCCTGACTACGAATTTAAAGATTGTTCTAACTGCAAACCTTCAAATCCTTCAGACTGCTCTACAATCGTTTCAAATCAGATCCTTACCGTCCACCACATAACAATACTTATAATAATTTCAAGGGTGTTATGCCATATATCAATACTCTTAAAAACACTTCTCCTAAAGATGATATCAAACAACCTTCCGTAATTACTCCTAACCTTATTGATGCTCTGAAACTTATTCAGGAAAAACTAGACAATATTGAAAAGAAGCTACTCTCAATCAGCAATGAAATAGTTTCCATAAAAAATAATATAATAGAACACCAACAAAATGAAGATGATATAGAATTTAGACTTAATCGTCTCGAATGCATGCATAATATCAAATATGATGCTAAACATGCTACTGATTCAAATTACATCTTTTCTTTACATGACAAATACTTTATGATCGAAGATAGTACACATCTAACAACCCAAGAAAACCAAACACCTATCATTTCTAATGAATCATCTGTCCTCAATACGAATTCCTCAAAGAATTGGTGTTGTCAAATTATCTGTTAATGAAATTAAGAAAGAAATAAGAAATTTGATTGCCACTATCGGCTGATCATTCAAGCGAGCAATATTTCTCAATGAGTATACATCTCAAACAAAAAATTTTAATGGAACGTCTTCTACAATTCTTACTAATATTAATAATATAACAAACGCAAATTTTTCTCTATTATTAACAATCTCAATTTACTACACACAACGTCCAAAGCTGTATTTCCTTAAATAGACTTCAATAAATTGAACAATTTTTTATCAATTTCAACCTTGATATTTTAGGCCTAAATGAAACCCATCTTACATATTTGCAAGCTAAATCTCTCAATAATAACCTTCATGACAAGCCTTACAAATTTTTCTTTCACAACTCAAATCGTTTTCAAAATTGTCAAGGGGTTAGACTTCTAATTAGAAATAATCTTTGTTCATACCTTTTTAATCAAGGCTCTTTTTTCGACCGAATTTTAAATTTAGATTTTCAATTTAAGAACAAATTCAAATTACGTATTATTTAAGTCTATCTTCCTGCAAGTTATTATGACAAAAAATCTTTCAAACATAGACTACATATTCAAAACAATTTAATGGATCTTCTAGTTCATAGCTGAAAAAATAATTTTCATGTTATCCTTATGGGTGATTTTAATATTGACATTTCTAGAAATTACAAGGCTAAATACAAAAAGATTTTACAAAGTTTTCTACATAATATTATCAATCTTGACTTTCTTCATACTATCTCTCCTTTTACATCCTCCTTTCCCGCTACCTTCACATCAACTTCTAACTCATTTTCTTCTCATATTAATTATATTTTCATTTCGTCTTTTCTTGCACACAACCTTGTTTTTTTTGACATTTTAAATAACTTATCCTTTCTCTACTCATTTGATCATCTCCCTCTTCTCATATCACTATACAAAAACAATTTTTTCAATCAATCGTCCAACGTATATTCAAAACAACACAAAATTACCAAGCAAAATTTTCTTTTCAACAAAACTACTTTACTTCAATGGGATTTTTTCACTGACAAAATGGATCTCATTCTTCAAACTAATCCAAAGTACTGAAATTATACAGCTCATGATCTCAGTGAATCTCAAACTACTCTCAACGCTGCTTGGGATTTTTTCATTAATATAGTGATTACCTCTGCTAAAAAATATATACCCA